ACGCGCGTATTCATCGGGTATGAATAACACACTCACTTGGCGGGGGAACACGTTGGGAATCCTTAGTACAGATTTGTAATGTCTTATTATCATGGTTAACTTTTAAATGTGTTAATTCTCTCTTAAATCCATTGGTCTAAAAAGTTATGTTAATTCTTTCTGAAGTTCATTGGTCTAAATACTTGTGTTAATTCTTTCTGAAATTCATTGGTCTAAATACTTGTGTTAATTCTTTCTAAAATTCATTGGTCTGAATACTGTAGAAGGCACAGAATATTAATCGCATCCCTGTCAAATTACAGTTGTAGTAAACAGTGATCCGTGTAATTGTAAAACGTTAAAATATCAGCATGTGACCGATTTCATTATCTACACTCACATTCAACAAAACTATTGGAAGAAGCAATATAGAGTATGACCCTTAGGAACTTTTTTTTTTGTTTTTTGTTTTTGTTTTTGTTTTTGTTTTTTTTTTTTTTTTTTTTTTTTTTTTTTTTTTTTTTTTTTTTGTTTTTTTTGTTTGTTTTTTTTTTTTCTCTTCTTACAACGAGGACACTTAGAGGACCAAAATAAATCTATTAAACCCTCATACAATCTGTCTGAAATGATTGGTCGGCGATTATGGTACAATTAACACAAGTGCTTTGCCTATTTTCATACGTCTGGCTTCTCCATCATTTCTTTCACAGTATAGGCATGGACGTATAGGTGAGAACCTGTAGTGACAAACAAAGGTCAAAGTTTGTTTTTTTTCTCTCTCTCTCTCTCTCTCTCTCTCTCTCTCTTATGGTCAGGTTGTAGGATACTGCATTTAAAATGGATAAAATGCCTATCAAGCATAACATGAACAAATTACAATTTCTTATCAAAACATTATTTAACATTGATTAAAAAATAACATATTGAACAAAAAGGATTTAAATCCGATCATTCTATAAAATAGAACACAGCCAGTAGAATATTTGAGTGTGACGTTTCGATGACTAAACGGCCACCTCTTCATCAGACAAATGACCAGTGTGGAGCGTGCTAGCACTGACTTACGTTATGTACGGGATTCTAGGGAATCGACCAAATTTTTAGGCTGTAATTTAATTCTATATACACTGAGGTCGAAAATATTGATAACCAACCAACCTGAAATAATGTTCCAAATTGTCCGATTATTCAATTTAATTCATTCCAATATGAATATAACATCAATCACCTGATACATCACGTACATGTAGATGAGTGCCTTTTTGTGAAAATAGTTTCGAGTATAAATGTATCATCTAAATATACTTACACTTAAAAAACAAGATTAGCCGTAAATGACTGACAACTCGCTTTATTACAAAACATGAATGAAAATTTAGCACAGCCTTCCTTTGTTTTAATTAAATTTCAATTAATCACTATCTAATTAATCGGATGTAGAAATTCATGATTAACCAGTTACCATAACAAAACGCTTTAACTATGCCGAGACCAACTGACAACACGCGCTGCTGTTTACAAATTATCACCTCTGGTTCATGACTAGCCTCTGCCACCAGTACCGCTCGGTCTAATACATATATCGTGAACACTCTCACAAGCGCAATAGCTAACTATTTAAGTAATTTATATATCACATATCTCAAGTCAAGTATTTTCAAGTCAGGTCAAGTATTTTATTCCTTAAGTCTCTTGACTTATCAGAAGAAAATATTGCATTCATATTACATTAAAATACACAAAGCAGCAACACGATACACAGAGAAAAATATTACATGACGTCATTCTCATACTAATATTACATAAAATAGCAATATATATGACGTCATTCTCACCATACATGACATTATACTTATGAAAATAAGGGCTACCAGCATAATGGTATTGATGTGCTTGTTGTTAATATTACCAAACCAACGCTACATACAATCTAAAATTAACATTCTTTATAATGACTTGATTATGAAATGTTTTTAGGATGTCCTTACTGTTATACAATGACGAACACAGGAGAGTATATATGCACTAATTACACAAGACTCTAGACTGTACAATTTTAGTTTTTTTTAATCGAGTTACCCGGAAAAAAAATTCTAAATGCAAACCCTTCCTTAAATCGGAAATTGAGATTTTACTCAATCTTTTCTTACTACTGTCAATATCAATCGAACACAAAATGTAAATAACCACACAGCATTACCGTTTACCTCTTATTCACTGAAAATAAACCACTTACAGAGTTTAATAAAACACCCACGCCGACGCCCACACCCAAGATCAAGTCCAAGTTCTTTATTTCACCCACACCCACGTCACCTCGAATGTGGATCTAGGATTTTTTTTTTTTTTCGAACTTTGACCCCTACCGGAAGTTTACAGTTCACATATTTTTATTAACAAGTAATGGGACAAAGTTAGACATGGAATTTATCTGCAAAATAAGATCACCTCACGAACTCTGTACAATCGCTGATTTTCGAGATAAGGCTATTTCAAAATTTTTGACACACGGCGTCGTGGCGGCCATATTGAGGATTTTCCCTTCTTTAAAATGTTACATGGACGTAACAATTTGCAATCCCAAGAAAGTTACTTTGGATGTGCTTCATTCAAATTTTGGTATATATAAATATTCTTAATTATGTGAATTTATTGAAAAAACTTATGTAACTTTCACCCGTATGTCATGTCATCATTTTAGTCCCCATGTTAATTATGCCAGCTCTATTAATGGCTCATTGTGTACAATGTTGATCATGTATCGTTGTATTGATGAGAGCCTCAAATAAAGTTATGCTCTGTTCTGTTCTGGTATAGAACCTCATTAGAAAATGTCTGTCGAATGATAAGCATCTATTTACTTCAGGGCCAATAATGTTCACCCTGGTCATTCATTTGAGGATGGCGGCGGTATAATCGTCGTAACATTACACATAAACTTCAACTTGTAATATAATTCTTCGTACCTCGTACAACATAAAGAAACTATCCCATAACAACACAATGTTTGCACATGTCGATTTCATTTATACATTATTGATTCACATTTTTTAAAGCTGAACTTCGGCCCTACTTCGTGAAATGAAGAAACGATGCGTTTCAGCGGCTTTCCAATAGTGTCAGTGGAGGCCTCAGATACCAATTAAACAAATCATTGTGCCGTACAACGGCCTGGTAAATAAAGCACGACAATTTTGTTTATAATGTCATTGAGTCATAGGGTCATTGAGTGCAGTTTACAACCCGTAGTATTTCATATGTAAACCTTATACTTACTTCAAAGCGGGAGAGATAAGTGCAGTTAAAATACGTTCTACCTTCATAGTTTCGTTTATTGAATGTCATTAATTATACATTATACACAGGTGTTCAGTCTCTTTTCTTTAACAGAACATGCTAGTAAATTTTACACATAAACTTCAACTTGTAATTTCAAGGAAATTTTAAACGTTTATACAACGGCTACCTGACTCTAAAACACTTTTTGTTGATCTTCGAAGTGACCATTAGTGTCAGGTCTGATGACTCGTTAGTGTAGTGATTTATTTATGTATTTATTTGTCGATTAATTCATTAATTCAGTGGTCAATAAAAACAAGAAAATAAAAACATATCAATATAACAACAATCAAAACTCAGATTTAATAAAAGTAAGGCAAAATATGGACGGAAGAAGGATTTACACAGAGACTCATGAAAAAGTTCAAGGTGAACAAATTCAGGTGTTCCGGGAGAGTAAGCGTCTTCTGCTTCATCGACGACACAATACAAATTTATTTTACAAACAAGAGAGATAATATTTTCCTCTATTCTATTGCTCTATGTTGTGAACAAGTGGCATCATTATCACTGCATAGCTATTTAGTGATCAAGTTTGTTTTACCTTTTTAGTATGCATTATTTCCATCCATGTCATCTCAGACAAGAAATTGAGTCAGGACAACGCTTTGTTATTAGGACATTCTGAGACTAATATGAGTTGTAACTGTCACCAGTTTGTCTTATCGATCAGATTTGTTAAACTTTCAGATCACATAAATCACATACAATTTCAATTCTATGCTACAGAACAATATGATTGAAATATACTAATTACAAAAATGGGATACAAATTACCCTGATACACGATATATATTATTAGAATATATGTACACCTTTTCATTTAGACGTTTGTTTATTTATATTGCTCGTGGCTTTCATTGAAATACACGTGTTGTTGTTCGTTGTAAATATTGATGTTTGTACCTGCGGTTATTATAGTATATCTCCATTTGTAATCGAAGGGGATGACGGGTACGATTTCGCTTGTTTGACTGAATTTTTAATCGGTTGTCGGTTAATGCTATTCAAATTAAGGATTCGTCTTACGAGACGAACTGGATAATGAAAAATACATTTACAGTCATTAGAAAAATGAATTATGGAAACAGATAGATTTAGATAACATCCGAATGTGTGTTCAGACACTGCAACAGGTATTAATTTCAAAATTGAAATTGTTAAGAATCAATTTTAAATGTATGTAACCTACAGAAGTAAGTGTCAACGAATGTATCACAAAAGTAGCTGAAAAGCTCGCACATCAAACATAGGATTGTATATATATATTTTTATAGGGCTGCTTCGACATCGTTGAACTTGTGACGTCACAGATGTGGACTATCCATATCGAGGTTGTCGCCGCTGAGTCAAAGATGTGCCTTTCAGATAAATCATAAAAACTGGGAAATGGAACTAACTGCGAAGTCGGCACTTTCTTGACCTTTTATTGTAGAATATGAAGTAGTTTATAGCTAGATATAGTAAAACAATCAGTGTACACTTTAAATCAACACTGGCTAGGCTTTATATAACTACCTTACACGTGAAAGTTAGGACGCCATCATCATACAGTCGGAGGTAAATCTATTTATTTTACAAGCGCAAATGAATGTCATTAATTATACATTATACATAGGTGTGCAGTCTCTTTTCTTTAACAGAACATGGTAGTATTGTGTTTCAGAGAAAGGCTCATCACCATGCCAGGGACGTGTAATCGACCACTGATGTCATTGACGAGAAATTTGTTGAAGAAACCAAAATGTAACAACCGCGGCAAGGCAACTATGGTTTCAGCTGATTATCTTGAAGGCAGTACTGCTACAGATACCTCCAGAATTGCTTCCGATGTCCGTCCATTCGAAGAACTTCCCGGGCCGAAATGTTATCCAATTATTGGAACCCTGCCTTACTACCTACCTGGAGGTGATAATACTCATTTAAAATAGAAATGGTTTCAACGAATCCTGTTATTCTTAAGATGTTGATGATTCAAATTTGATATTCTGCCTTATTACTTCAAGGTTAATGACAGTTTATCATTTTGATGGACAAGGTATATTAGATATTAAAATCATTTCATTTTTTCTGTATTTTTTTTTTGCAAAGGCCGATTCTATAAGATGGAACACAACGAAGTATCGGCCATGTTGAGGAGAGAGTTCGGGAATCTTTACAAAGAAACTATTCCTGGTGGAAATGTATTGGTGCACACATTTGATGCTGCAGACATGGAAACAGTCTATCGTAATGATGGCAAGTTTCCTATTCGGGAAGCATTTTTCACATTAAGTCATTACAACAAGAAATTCGTATCCAATTGCCAAGGTCTACTCACATCGTAAGTTTTCCTTTGTTGAACTTAATACGTTGTATCAATTTGTATAGAGTAACAAATATTTTTATACAAAGCTTAAGATAATATCAAATGCTTAACTTCAGCGTTTCAAATCCATGAAACGTTTCATTTTGACCGGTTAAAAAGTTTTCAATTAAGTTAAAAATACAATTGGTATAATTTCTTTTTCGAGAAGCCAAACGCAGGTGAAAATTTAAAAGGAAATGAGTGTAGACGTTTTGATATATGTATTATTTCTTTCTGAACCATAATGATTTGAACCGCCTAAAACATCAAGACAATACCAACATGGCAACATAATTAAAACTTAGATTCAATAAAACGTGGACAAAATATGATAAAGAGAATAAGACCGGGTGTTCCGGAAGAGGAGACTTCTGTTTCATCGATGACAACCGCCGTGTAAACCTTGGTCAATGCGAGTAAGTAATGTCACGTTCTCAAATGAGAGCGAGGTATACAACAACCGAACCAACAGGCAAACTAACGAGCATCAAAGACGTCCAGCTTCATGTCACACAAAGAAATTGAATATTTCTACAATGAGATCCCTTTGGCGACCATAAAACTTTCTCATAATTTTCTTCAACTGTATCTTTTGAACCCTTGTGTTACGAGTTTATCAGTCAGTTGATGACTTCTTGCATGAAAATCGTGATAATGACGACATCGAACATTGAATATCGAATCAACAGTGAAAATACCATAGGTTTGAGACGCAGGGATATTGCTATCCAGAAATGGAAAATTCACAATATGGTAATTGAAATTACCACGTTTATCAGCTGGATGGAAATCTGGCCATGTTGGTTTCATTATAGGAAAAGATCGAGATAAGCAGCTGATGTAGAAGAGTCTGTCGTATCTTTGATTTCCAGGTCTGTTGAATATAAACGATTGACGTAGTCAGTAAATTTTTTTAATATTTCAAGACAGGACGTCATCAATATATCTAAAGGTGAAATTAAACTACTTCTCAGGGTCTTCGTCCCAAAATAATGTATATCATAGTGTATCATTATGTTATTTTGATATATCATTGACAACTTTTCATGTGTTCAGACAAATGGAACAGTGGTACCAATTACGAGTAAATATCCAGAAGAAAATGCTTCTGCCAAAGACAGTCGCAGCCTATATACCGGAACATTGTTTGGTGGCAGATGATTTTATCGGTCGACTTGCCTCATCTAAGGAAGAGGATGGCACCATAGACGACATCAGAGATGTTTTAACAAAATACGCCGCAGAATGTAAGTACTCGTTTTCATAGGAGAAATATTTTAATATACTGTGAATGGTTGGTTTTGTTCTGTATTTTCTTCCGTTATAATGATAATGTCTTCATACAATATTGTAATTCAAATATTAATTATAGAGTATAACACTATTATATCCAACATTATCAAACATTGTTTCATAAACCAGTTTTGTGAACAATCACATGTAATATATTACTGTATGAGAATCCATCAGTCACAAACATTTTTGAGGTGACCTGACAGCAATTGACTTTCTTCTGTTTGTATATAATTTACTTTCGAACGACATCGATTGATGTACAAATATGTATATATGTAAACTTGTTCTTGTTAATTACATTTATGACATATCATTGGTTGCGACTAAGTGTTTAAAAATTAAAAATAATTTACTGTTAACATTAATCACTTTATTGATTTGTTAATTGAAATTTAATCACCGTAACGCAATCAGATGTAGATGTTATACTCCTCTGTGGACTACAATCCTTTTGCATATTGGAATGATGGATCTATTCAGTGCATACACAGTCTTAATCACTCGATATTGAACTTTGCTAATTATTTGGTTCGTGCACCTCCCAATAAGTTTTCATTTATTTCTGTCTTTTCTTTTTCTATCGAAGGCATCATAGGTCTCTGTTAGTCAACATTCTTATTCTATATCAACACTGACGCGTCTAAATTGTATTGATTTTTTTTCTTTTCACTTCCGTTTTTATAATATTCTTTGTTTTTTCCGATGATTTCTGTCAGGTAACTGCAAAAAATGACATTCGAAATTCATTAACATGATCAAACATGCAATATATCTCTCGGTAAATGTTAATATTAGTGATCCGCCTATAGCTAAGATTTTTAATTATAATATTCTCTGGAATGCGTGAAGTAGGATATAGCATCTTATGAAATTCAAGTCAATGTAAATTTTACATGCACAGGTATCGGGGTTGTCTGTTTCAACAAGAGGTTTGGCGCTTTCCAGGATGCCGAGAGTGAAATGGAGGCTACTCGATTCATTGAATCAGTCAAGGACGTTATGAAGGTGTCTCATTTAGAATTTCGACAAATTCCACTGTTCAAGATCTTCAACACACCTACATTCAATAAACTCATCAAATCACAGAATTTCATTAAACAGTAAGTCCAGTGCAATGGAGATTCTCTCTCGGACTTCATACGTAGGTTCCCCTTGGTCCCTAGTTATGCCTGATTGATTTTTGGACGGATCAGAAAAAAGAAAATTGACGACAGGTGGCCTGACTTTAACAATGAAAGTTTGTTATCGCTGTTTCTTGAGAGGGATTTTCAAATTGCGTATAATTAAGAATAAAATCAGAGGTGAAACGAATGGAAAAGACTCAACTTTTAAAGAACGAGTAAAGATGAAACAATGGGGTGTGTGGGGCGGGTAGGATCCCTTTAGGTGTTCCACAGCAATTCCAAAATCTATTTCAATATTTTTTACCAATCGTTCGTTTGTAAATGAATCAAGAAAGCGGTGTTGGTATATATCTTAATCTTCGCAATATATATTGTGTGCAGTCGTTTAGTATTTCCATTTTATTTTCAATATCAATATAAAGTCCACGCCCGATTACTGTGCCGACCACATTTCCTTTGATATTGTTTGTGTCTGATGTTTCTCTTAAATTGTAACTATGTCATATTGCATTACATTATACTTTGTGTACCAAAACTTCGTTTCAGAATAGCCATTAAATATTCCAATCTAGCCCTGGAAGCAGCACAAAAGAAACAAAATGACGGTGAAAATGTGGATGGAGAACATGGAGATTTAGTACCTTATCTCATGTCAAAAACATCTTTAACAGATGAGCAGGTGCTCGTTGTTATCAGCGAATTCATTTTTGCTGGAGTTGATACAGTAAGTGCTTGATGTTCCTTTGTGTTAGACTTCAGCTTCAAAAAGTTTCATAAAGACACCACGTAAAAATAGGTATAGAATATATAATTATACTACATGGTCAACTTAATCAAACAAATGGTCAGTGTGAAGAGTACTGACGTAAGTAGTGTAGGGGATAGGTTTCCAAGTTAATGATATGGTTTGTACCCTTTTCATGCGGCTCGATTGGGAATACTACAACGAGTCAGTACTAAACAGGGACGAGGGGGCACACATACTTGCATATTTGTAACAAAATGTTAAACAAAGCGTAGCCGAATCAACTACAGAACATTGAGATCACCTTGTATACTTTTTTTCTATAATCTTACCTTACTGTAAATGGCTTAACTTAGAGCTTTGAAAAAGGCACAGAAGTCCTGTTAATGAGAAAAGGCCCTTGAATATCGACTGCAATCAACTGCAAGATGTAAACACTATAAATTAGGAATGCAGGGATGCTGCTATCTAAAAATGATGTAATATCGAAAGAAATGTATAGCATGAGAAATCGTAGAACTATTAAAAATCGAATACCAAAGTTGAAGACTGATATTTATCTTAATAACTAAAAACCTATTTTATGTTGGTATATCATGTGGCTACTAAAATGGCCGAGTAGGAAAAATAGCAAAGGACAGTCTTTAATAATGAGATTGAAAAACTTTTTATTCAGACGAGCCATCATATATCCTTTATACTATATTTGCTGGGACGACACCCTCACGTCCAGAATAAGTTATACAGTGAGATCCAAGCTATTCTGCCAACCACAGACATCTCAATCAACGAAAGAAACATTCGGAACATGTCATACCTGAAAGCAGTAATTAAGGAAACTCACAGGTATGAAATTAGGTATCTCAGTTATAAACAGTCCGTCAAGCTTGTCGCTAAATCAATTATTGGATGCCATACGTGTTTAATGTTTTATTATGTTTTACTGCGAGTGTATTACCCGTGAAATTAGAAGTAACTCTGAAATTGGTTTCCAGTTTTTCAGTTAAAATGTTAATGAGGCTAAATCAATACAGTGGTGAATCAAATTTACATCAGAAAGTCGATTTTTTGCCAAATGACTATAAGAGTAAAATATCAAATTGAACATTATAGATAATCATTGCTTCTGTTGTCTTTTAGAATGCTCCCTGTTGCGACAGGAAACATCCGGCGAACTAATGTGGATTTAGTTTTGTCGGGATACCACATTCCAGCAGGGGTAGGTAAAAACCGATATTATGTTTATCATATAACTTGCATAATTGTGCTAAATTTGGGACACGAATTTCTTTTCAGCCATACTCAATTTTGGCCCTACAGGTAGATTATAGGAACTCTACCTGCTACCCGATTAAATTTTCGTAAGAGATCTTTATACATTTTTCATTTCTTTTCTAAAGATGTTTCCGTCTCCAAATGGCCCCTTTTGACACTTTTGCCCTTCAATTGAGTGGTTACCTTTGTGAAGAAGGTTAAGTGTTTTGTCCCCTGGACACAACTTTTAAAAATGGAAGTTACAGTTCCAGCGTTTTGGTAGAGAAACAGCTGATTTGCCTGTTGTCAGTACAGTGTGACCGGTTCGAAACCTTCGGCGTTATACATTCGTGTGGTAGTAAGAGAAAAACAAAGACTTTAAAGTGACACCACTATTTCCTCAAATTAGGCCCAGCCCATCTACCTTTAAAGGATTCATAATCACTATTTATACCAAATTAAGTCACTTTCTTCAAAACCAATATGGACAAAACCGTGTCACTCATACAGAAAGATTTTAAATATTGTACAAAAGAGCAGTGAATAACCCCTGTTAATATTGGTATAGAAGTTTTGAGCTGAATAATTAAGTGCCTCAATTTCGAAACTTAGGAGACGTCCGAGGAAAACCCAAGGTGATCGAAAGCTGTGGAACCCATCCATTGTTCCCAAACGGGGTACAACTACACCTTATACGAAACTGCGTTCTTTCAAGCAAAGATACCTTTGACCTAATATTGACAAAACCCTGTAATGGCTATAGAAGGTCGTTAAGAAATTCCTCGATTTCACCTTCCGGATGTCGCCTTTCAAATGTTCCTGACTAGTGGCGACTTGTAGAAAAATTGTTATCGGTCGCCGCGCCTTGGTATAAGCTCACATGTCCTTTGAGCTGACATACTAGTTTATAACTATATAAGACAAAGAACATTAAGCGGGGTTAGATTCATCCATGACGGGTTAGACTGTAAAATTAACCGCATACAACAATAACATTCAAAACAAAATAAACATTTGTCCCATTCTTTTGTAGACATCTGTTGCTATGCACTCGGATTTTTCCTGCCAGGATGCCAAGGAGTTCCCCGAACCTGACTCCTTTGTACCCGAAAGATGGCTTCGTGAAAGCAATACTCCTAAAACAAACCATCCGTTTGCCATGGTTCCGTTCGGATTTGGTCCTCGTGCCTGTATCGGCATGCGTTTCGCTGAACAGGAAGCACAGATTGCTGTCATAAAGGTATCCATTTTCTTAATACTATGTCAACTAGTAACTCTATAACAGATACAGAAAAACCTGTCATCGGAAATATAGTAAAAATTGTTATGAGACATCAATACAATTTTAATACATAAATCAACGATCTCATACCCTAACCTTGGCTGTTAAAGTATTTACCATTAGTTTACAATTGACAAAATAACGCTAACATGAAAACGTAAACAATTTATATGGAAGTCATTCCATTGAAATCGTCCAGCTTTCTGTGTAAGTATTTATTGCCAATCACAAATTGTGTCTGATGATGGAGCTAACGATTAAACAATACAGGATGTTCTGCAAGTTGAGATGTCCTGAAACGGTCGTTGAAATATAAGCTGTGAAATTAAAGAGAGCAATCCCAAACATAGCTACATATATTTGGCAATATAGGAGATATTCTTGCTTGGTACATTTTATGACTGATCGAAATGATTTGCAAAATATAGATAACAAAATGACAACATATGAAATATTATGAAAGATGGTCTCTTCATAACAAGCCGTTTATGTGATATTTCAACAAAACGTACATGCTTGGATATACCGCATTATCTGAGCTGTATGATGGAGACGCATTCTCGCCTAACCGAACTTACAGGCGAGGTTTTCGCAACCAATTATAGGAGGTATAATATGTATATCATGTGCATCAAAACACTATTCCAGATTCAAGTTTATGTTGTGTTCGTTTTTTTAATTTTTTGTTTTCATTTGTAGATCTTACAGCGTTATCATGTGGAATATGTAGGTGAGACACTCCGACGTGAAGCCAGCATCACCTATAGACCAGCAAATAAGCTTGCATTCCGTTTTACAGAACGCTAGTGATCAACACAAAAAAGGACTACTTCCTAGACCCAGTTACATGTTACATATTATGCGGTGGTGACGAGTCTATACCCCATCAGACGGATTTCTGAAATGTCATTGAAATTACATTAGCTATCTTGCCTTTGTACGGATATAACACTTTGAAATAGGACTGTCCATTTCTTTTTTATTTATTGTCATCATGGCGTTGAGAGTATAGTGAAAGTGCTTAATTTTCTATGTATTCAAACAAGGCGCGACATATATGAGGTAGGAGAGAGTATACCCCTGTAATGAATGAAATTTGATTTTTGTTATGATTCAGTCTGGATTGTACTGCGTTGAAATTTGTAAATAATGGAAGGTGAAAGCAGAATGACTTTTCCTCGGCAACCAAGCGAAGGTAAATATACAAAATGGCTGACGCTATTCAGATGCTTAAGTGTGCTAACACATATACCTACACGAACGTGAGATAATTTAAAATCGCCGTTTCCCATTTTTTATTTTTACATTTCAAAGAATACCTAGTACAACTATCCAGGCTATTTTTTCAAATGTCTGAGTGAAAATATTTGTCCTGTCTTATTTTGGCCCGGTTTGTCCTCATTTACTGGTTACTCTGATTTTTCGGCAGGCTAAAAACAAACAAAAACTAATACATAGAAATTATTGTCATACATTTATATCAAACAATGCTTTGTACCACAACGTTCTCGCACAAAATATATAATATATATATATATTTGGTTTCCTGATAGTTTTAAACACCTTTTTAATATCTGGGTTTAGTTTTTAAGTAATTTGCGTGTTTGCTTGATTCAAAATTTGCGTTAAACCAATACTGTACCTTGCAATAAATGAAAACAAATCACTCAGGTTAATTTGTCTACTACTGAAACAGGGCTGTTAATTATCCCTTTTTCGTTATATCTTAGCATTAAGTTAACCCAACGCATATGCTTTGTTCAGGAAACAAAATTAACGTCACGTGGAGTTTTTTTTTATATAAATGTCAATAATTTATATAAACAATATACTGTTGTAAATAAAGTGAAATGTGTTCCTGGTATATAGAGACAGAATACATGGTAAGCGGGTTAAAATATCAGCAGTATTTTAGCAAGAATATTCTATCTATTTAAATCCTGCAACACTGATTTAAAACCAGACAATCAAAACTTCAACTTGCCAAAATAATTCTTCTGCACAGAAATAAACTCTAAACTCCAACGGACATGACGGCGATTTTTCGTAAATAACCCAGTTCATAACAACATATAAAATCGCTTAGTTCAACAGTTATTTTTAATGCTAAACGAAAATTTTATTTTATCTCAAAAAGTCATTCTATCGAATTAAAGCACTTGTTAAAATACAGCTGCTTTCCACCACTGCCGAATACAGCAAAAATATTTGTGGCAGGTGTATTCCGATAATTGGTAGCGCCAGTTGCAAGACAAAAATATATCTTGGCTTTCCATCTCAACTTCACCAGTTACAATACCTAAAAGGTTTTCCATTATGTATATCTTATAATACATTACCATTTACTTAAAGTTTAACCTGTGTAGTCTTGGCAAGTCTCTAAGATGACCCTTTAAGCATGCACTATGCCTTATTAAGGATCAACCTTAACTTGTTTTGTTCTATCCACATTAACGTAAGCTTAAGATCTTCTAAAATTCAGATTTCTATCTCGTCTATAACATTACTTTCTACATCTTTGAAAATATCATGAGCATACATAGTCTCCAATCAGTAGTAGGCATATTTTGTGTAATTTTTACTGCAGTGTACGGAAAATTAAAGGCCCGAGAATGGATCCCTGAGGGACACCAATCGTAATTTGATAGATTACTTTTAAAATGTGGCATGGGTGCCTTATTTGAGGAAAATGGAAAAGATCAGACATATGTCAGACTCCATGTCTATGTAGCAAAACTTCATGTTATGGCTGACAGTATCAAAATCCATGCTTAGATCGAGGAAAAGTTGATAGGGCCAGCGCTTTAGATTGGTTCAAATTAACGAAATCCAAACTGATTATTACAAAAGATATTGTTAACAGAAATGTGAGTATAATTGAAAGTGTTATTAATGTGTCTCTATAGTATGTTACCAACAATAGAGAGTAAAACGATATGTCTCTATAACTATTAAGACAGGACTTGTGAGTCACTAATCTTTACCACGCGAAAACTATTACACTTTTAAGTGGGTTAATTACTGCATCTCCGACAAGTTATAATCATTTTAACAGGCCATCAAGACATGTAGCTTTCCCATATAATTACTTACGAACAAATTCGTTATTTTCATGGAGTTGACAAACTTGCTTATGGTATTGAAATATCAACACTTGGTAAACTGTCGTCAAACATTTACATAGATATTTCGTGATTAAGGCATGAATGTATATCAATTTGTTAAAGATTCAGTACAACGTTCAATCACATAAACTTATGCTAATTTGAAATTCAATGTACATGAAGTGCAATTGTACACAAACATATGTTAATTATGTATTCAATGTACATGCAGTGTTGCTGTACATAGCCTGTGTTAATTAAGTAATTGATGCACTGCTTATTAAGACGTTATGTTGAATCACTATACATGAACATATATACTTATCTAATTTTAAATCTAGTGTTCCTGTATTTAAAATTAATCTAATTACATATTGAATACTGTTATCCTTTTTATGAATAGATGTTAAATATAGTACATATATGGACTGTAGTAAAGATTGTATCAAACTTTATCTACATAGTCATATGTACTATAGATGTGGCGGTTTACGCCAATAGACAATGCAACAGAGCGTATGCTAATCAGTACAAACATGTACAATTATATAGTGGACCCATTCCAAGATAGAAAGAAGACAAATCTGTATTCGTTTAATGTAAACAAATAAACAGGTGCTGTAGTCAAGTTTCAAACTTTTTTTAATATAATTTTATCATTTTTAATGTTCCAATTATTTTCATACAATTAATAACATTTGTACCATTCATCAATTCATATTACTATACCAATTAATCTTAATCTGTTTTTTATCAATAGTACAGCGTGTGAAGAGTATTCATGGAAGACTGAATTAACAAATCAAATAACTACTTAATACGGAAAAAGAAGAATTAACGGATTTAAATGCCAATATCACTCCAGAATTAAAAAAAAATATTGCACATATTTAAGTCCAGTATCATGTCATTCTGTGTATCGTGGTGTTCTGTAGTGAACTGAACTCATAGCGAGTAGGAGAACAATGGAAGATTTGTGTAAAACAAATATTATTTACATATCACGATAGTGTTATAATTCCAAACATGTCTCAATTTCAGCTTGTTATTTAACTAAACGAAAATGTCATTGTATTATCTCAATGACATTTGATATGACGTCATTCTTCCTTTCTATAGATGTACCATTGCCCGATTGGGTTATGAAAAGTATTGTAATGAGACGTTTTTCGTCATTTTTTATAATATTATTTGAATATCATATAGTTTGAGAATTTGGTAACATGTTAGTTGTTATAATTATTAAACAGTGCTGATATGAAACAGTTTTACGGAATATGTCCACCTTATATAATGTGTGTGCGTGTTGGTGTGGGTATGTACAGTCCTGACATTATCAAAAACTTAGTGCAATTTACAAATGTACATGTAATGTACACGTTTTTTTTCATTATTTTGGAATTGCCTCATTTTATCTGAGTTTACTTTTTGTAATTTTTTTTTCAATTTCTTCAAAATTGTAAGTAACCCAGATACGTCCAACTATAAAACTAATTTTAACTGGACAAACACACTTATAGATTTTTTTCTAGTGATCTACTTAATTTTTGTAATTCATTCAAAACACGACGGACTAAACGTCTTGAAAAAAAGATGGACATTATGAAATCCAGTAAAAGATTGCCTGTTTATCTGCCGCAAAATGAGTGACAATAATTTCTGCTTATATTTAATATTTTTTCAAATATTTATTTTCATAATTAAAGTTTCATGTTATAATCTTTGGTTCTCCTTTCAAACTTGTAATTCTGTATTTTTTATATTGTTATTTTTACATATCGTGTGGTATGTATTTTAAATTTAATATCGTGTTATTACTACATAAAAATAATATTATATTTTGTTATATACGGCCATTGTTATCTATAATACATTCTGTTTTGTAATAATCATATATTGTTATTATTACGTTTGAGTTTTGTACTTTGTAATGTTCATATATTGTTTATAATTAAGTGTGATATATGAAGTGTTGTAAAATTTATATATTGTTTTGTTATATTAAATGTTTTATATATATGGAATTGAGTTCTGTTGGAGTTATTTCCCTTCACCAATGAAATTCTTACATGGATCGTTTTCCAACGACATGTGTGTTACTCTTGGCTTTCCTTATGATAATCAAATCAATCAATTCTTTTATTCCTCAACAGTGAGATTTACAAGGAAATATCAAAATTCAAATTTAAGCAAAAGTTCAAAAAGCTCGAAATCTTATCTTTTTACATATATTGTCACTTTGAATCACATCACATACTATGATGAGATGCACCATCTACTTAAACATCACATCTTGCGGTTGTTTTCCGATAAAATGTTTTTGATGCGGTGTCCAGGAACTCAATGCCGTCTCTAAGGAAGAGAAAGTACTGATCGTCGGATTCGAAATATTGTTTAAATGTCGAGCAATACATCCCAATAACAGTCTCAGGGAGTGTTCATGGAAGAGGTTATCAATGTAAATACAAATATCCGTTCCATATGAAACAAGGACATGTTCCATGAACTTAGTTCTACTTTCCTGTATCACAGAACACTTAGATGAGAAATGGAGAATCGGATCAATGTACAGTTCTTTGCATTTTTCACATTCCGATTCTATCCACGTCGGAGTATATGTTAACATTTTTGCAACACATCTTGAAGATTTTGAACACTTTAACTTCCATAGTATATGAGGTGAACAGTAAGTATGGTGAGTAT